AGCGAGGACGCTACAAGGATGCTGACGACATTACGAGGACATGTATATTTCACGAGAGGACGCCATCTTTTCAATGTCTGAAATCAAGAATGTGGAAATTTGTATAAAAATGGCATCCTCGCAGGAATTTGTCCTCGTAATGTCCTCGCAGCGTCCTCGTAGCAGGCGGGGATTTCGAGGGAATTTGTGTCCACACTGCATGTGTGACCGCGTTCTATCTCCGAAATTGGCCGCAGACGAGCCTCATGAGCAGTCGGAGTGCAGCAAGGTTGCTCTGGCATCTACTACAGCGCGCTTTGCACCAACGTTGCTTTACGGGGTTAAGGGGGTTAAATGAGTTCAATGGCCCCGATTTAGGACCTGAAGGAGGATTTGGAGTCTCCAGGTTAAACGCGCAACAGAACCTTGAGCGGTCACCAACTGAGCAACAAAATTGGACTGCAAGTAAGTTGCTTCAAAGCTTGTTCCAAGTCGCAGATGCTGGAGTGAGGCACAATTGTAACAGATGGAACAAATCAGTCGCTCAACTTCATTTTCACCTGCGCTCTGGAGTAGATCCGAAGAGTTCAAGTGGACAGCAGAGCATTTGCCGCCACATACAACTCAACATGTGAGCTCACACAGCCCCGGGTGGGCCGGGTGGGCAGCTGAAAATCTTGCGGTTCAAAATCAGCGTTCGCGACTATGGTATCAGTCGCTCAACTTCATTTTCACCTGCGCTCTGGAGTAGATCCGAAGAGTTCAAGTGGACAGCAGAGCATTTGCCGCCACATACAACTCAGCATGTGAGCTCACACAGCCCCGTACTTCCTCGTGTCTTCCAACTCTTCGCTCAAAAGTCGCTACCAAACAGTAGGAACCAGGACGTAGTCGGAACTTTAGCCTTGGACCATTGCTTGGCCTTCCGGAGGAGCTCGGGAAAAGCAGAGGCGCACTGAAGGACTCTTTGACGGACTTCTGGTGGTTGGTCTGAAAGAAAAGTCGCTGCTTCGACCTCCTGGAGGTAGATCTCCATGACCCGCGGGCTTAGCCCGCGGCCTCGTCTCCGGACTAAATCCGGATTGTCACTGCTCTGAAGAAGCCACGTGGCACCGCCCGGCCGAAATGAGCCGAGCTCGAGGCTCCTGGCTTCACTCTTATTCACTGGCAGCCCAAGCGTCTCGCAAACCTTCTTGAACCTGGTTCGCAGGGTCTGTCCAGAAAAAGGCCAAAGCCGAGCTCCTCGAGGCAGGTCGGAGAAGGAGAGGACAATAATCTCCAGAAGGTCAGACAAGTCGACCTTTGCTGCTTGGTGCTTTGCCGCCCTGCGGCGCGTCTTTGGCTCCTCTATCCTCAGGAGAGCAAAAGGTTGGCTGCCCAACACGTCCTGCGGTAGCACCAGGTGCCGTCGGAGCGAGAACAAAACTTCGCCCGGGCGACACAGGCCTCCCCACATAAGAGCAAAAAGGCCGGCCTCTTTTGTCCATCCCCAAATTAGGCATACGCTCAGCATCGCAACCAGTACGATTCCAGGCAGCGCAAGGTGATGCACGTGAGGTTCGACCTCCAACCAGTTGAAAGCCAGGTCCCAAGCGGCAGTCAGCTGCCGTCTAAGAAGGGGTCTCGCAGCCGCTATTGCGTTGATCAGCTCAGAGTAGTGTCCATAAGGCCTCCCTTCTCGGAAAAGCTTCTGCCCGAACTCGATAACTATACGGTGTACAGTCTCGGAGTCCAGGCCTGCTGCACCAATGATCTCTTCCAGAGAGTATACACTTGATGCAGTAAGCCACCTGCTAAAGTCGTCCAGCCGTCGCTGTCGATGGTCGCCAGTTCTGGGCAGGACCGCTCGTTGTGAGCTCAGTTGTGTGGTAGCTCGAGAGGCGGCCCTTCGGGCGTAGTTTTCAACTGCAGGGGCGGCGGCGCATCCATGGCAGCAGAACCCTACAGCCCAGAACACCCTGAAGAAACCCAGCACAGAGGCACGGCAGGCAGCAGAGCAGCAGGAGGCAGCGAAGACAAAGCATGCAGAGACTAAGTCCAGATCTCCTCCACGGTAGGAGGGCGACATATCTTCAGAAGTCCACTCAAAATCCAAAGAGGCCCCGAATGAAGGGGGGCTAGAAGAAAAGGTAGGGCCGGTAGGAGGCAAGCCCAGAACAGGAGAACTGGCGGACAAAATGTCCGTAACACACACCTTTTGAAGTCCATCTGCAGTCGGTCGGGAGATAGGCATGCTTTTGCCTGGCAGGCAGAGCGTCAGGAGGCAGGCCAGACGTAGCCAGTTAGCAGCAAACCTTCTTACCCTGACACGGGCGAGAAGCTCGTTGGTCTCGCGAGGGATGGCCCAGCCGACAGAGGTCCCGGAGGGGCTTCTGACTTCACAGTTTCTGGTGGGATCGTCAGCTATGTTCAGTCTGGTAGGAGCAAACCCCTCAGCATAGTATACGCCTTTTGCTAGGGCGAGCGCGCTGACCTGGCAGAGTACCCTACGCAGCTTGTGGCTGGAGGTCCTGCCCTTTGAGGCGGCGGCAAGGGCAACAGCTGAGTCGAAAAGGTGGAGGACGCGCCGGTCAGTTCCGTCAGAGGGCAGCTCTTTGAGCAAAGTGACCAGCCCTCGTAATTCGAGCAAGTTGATGTGCTCAGCGCACTTCCACCTCCATACCTTTTCAAGCTGCCAGGTCCTCGAGATTAGGAAGTCACTGATGACAGGGGATTCGAGTCCCGAGACCTCAACATGATGGGCCCTCTCGGTCCTTCTGTCTCCCACGATCTGCTGGACAAAGACAGAGGCTACCTCACTAGCAAATCGCTCGCTCTCTTTTCTAGGGTGCGCCTCCCTGCCCGGAAAGAGGCAGCTCAGGCTGCTCACATCGATGTTGCTTGCAAGTAGGCGGTAGCAGCCTTTCGAGGTTTTTCGCTGAGCAACAGGTCCAAGCGAGATCTCAACCGTGCCCTCGTGAGTCAGCGCTCTCTGCCATAGCTCATCAGAAGAGCGTTCTTTCGGAGACGCCCCGAGCAACACAGACGGCCGACCGTAAGTTCGGGCACTCAACACGACAGCGAGAGACCTGCGGAGGGCAAGGCCCTCCCCCTCTGGAAAGCAAAGGAACACGCTCAGGACTCTGCCCTCCTGAAGCATGCCAATGATCCAATGCATGGCATCAAGCTTCCGTATATCATACTGCTTGCTGATGGAGGGGTCCAGAGGAGGGCAACAAACAAGACCTCGACGGTGGCAGCTGGCAGTCACAAGACCTACACCCTTCCCAGACCCAACCTCTAGGAAATCGAACCTGAAGGGAGGATTCTTTGCCGGCTGAGAGACGCCCAGCCCCTTCAGGAGAGCCCTAGGCGCGGGATCCAGCCTAGAGTACCCCCCTTTCTTCTCAGAGTTCCGCCACAGGGTGGCCGCTTCCTCCTTTGAGATGGGGGTGGAGACCAACGCCCCTTTTGCCATCGAAGCATCTGATGCGAAGAGTGTCGGGATCAGCTGGGCCCCTAAGTTTGTGGTCATAAAGAATGACAACACGCTGGCGAGCACGAGTTCATCGGCGACCCCTCTGGAAAGACTAACAACCTTATTGCTAGCACCCTGCTGCGCCTCACAAGAGTGAATCAACTGATAAACCTTGGCAAACGCAACGGAGGTAGGTCGCCGATACATCATGCAGTGGACCCAGCTTCCAACGAGCCGCTCAAGTAGAGCCCTGGAGGTAACCCGGAGCCTTGCTGCTCCAAGGGACGCGAGGCAAAGGGCACAGCGCTTAACAGCCGGCGACGAAACCGAGATCAGGTTGTCTCGCAAAGCTCGCTCGCTAGAGTCTATTTGGGCGCCGGCGACAACGTAGGTGAGCTCGTTGGTGAGGTCTTTCTCGGGTGAGCCGGGGATGTCGAGCTTTCGGTACACCTCGTGCGCCGCATCAATCAACCTCCTCGACTCTGTCTCAGCCTTGGGCCCCCTTCTCTTGATTTCCTGGAGCTTGGAAGTGCTTTCCTCGCTCAGGGCAAAGAAATCGTCAATGATTAGCCCTTGGTAAATCGGACCTGAAGGGCAGGGGGATTTGCCTTTCAGGCGAGATGGCTCATCAAGCAACATTGCTTCCCGCAGCACCCCCTCATGCGCACTCGTCGCGATCTCAACCCCCGCGTGGTCGCCTTGGAAAAGGCTCGTGAAGACAGGCTGAAGGGTCTTGCAGGCGGAGCGGGACAGTCGCTCCCTCCATTCGGAAAGGTCCTTGGAAACTCCTGACGGCCGAGGACAGGCTTTGGCGAAGCCAATTGCGGCACCGATAGGGACACGCATGCCGACCGGGTTGCACGCGGATCTCTCATCAGAAGACATAATCTTATTCATCGTGAGGAACCGCTTGCCAAACGTGACCAATGAAAGGTTCATAAAAGAATCCAAATCATTTAGGTCATAGAAGATATCTTCATCTTGCAAAATTCGAGCAACATATAAGAGCATAATCTCAATATATAAAATATAAAAATTTCAAGACGGAAGCGCGCTCTCTCTTTTTATTCGCAAGTGGGGAAAGGTCCAGTGGCTGCAAGTCAGACGGCTGGGTTAGGCAGTTAGACCTTCTTAGAAGGACGAAAAACCTTTCCATACCCCAGGGTGGGCCGGGTGGGAAAAAGAAATTCTCGCCAATCACCTCGAAAGGGAAAAAGGCTGCAGCATGAGAATTTCATTCACCACACAGCATGTGTGAAAACAGCAAGCTAATTTTCCAAGGAAAAATTTTCCTCAAAACGATTGAATAAAGTAACATCCCCTTTTTCGAGTATCAGTGCGGGGAGTGTGTACTTATTCATCGTGAGGAACCGCTTGTCAAACGTGACCAATGAAAGGTTCATAAAAGAATCCAAATCACTTAGGTCATAGAAGATATCTTCATCTTGCAAGATTCGAGCGACATATAAGAGCATAATCTCAATATATAAAATATAAAAATTGCAAGACGGAAGCGCGCTCTCTCTTTTTATTCGCAAGTGGGGAAAGGTCCAGTGGCTGCAAGTCACCCCACTCGGCCAACACTGGACAACACATCCCACTGCAAGGACGCAGCTTTCACGATGATTGAAGGATCAATGCCATCAAAGCAGAGCCGACTTGGTGCATCGGCAGGGTTGCTCAATGAAGGCACTCGAGAATACCAGCACCTGAGTTGGAGCGATTCTTCAAGTAATCGCACACTCTCGGTAACCAACTCTGCAACTGGCGTAGATGCACAAGCACGGATCAACGCTGCTTTCGCCGCTTCATTGTCCACGTACACCACAAGTTGGCCACACTTGAAGACCTTCTGCCAAACCCTAAAAGCTAACAGAACCGGCACAAGCTCAAGTTCATAAATAGGATTGCGAGAGTACTCAAGTGCACGATGCATGAAGGCATCGGGAGCGCGACTGCCAAAGGCACCACGAGCAACTCCTGACTGGTCGTAGAAGATTGCTCCGACACTGCCTTTTCCATTCTCAAAGGCTCCGTCCGTAAAGAGATACCAAGTCTTGCTGAACTTTGGGCTAATCTCAAGGGGCCGAGCGGACAACAGGCGGCTGCGAAGAACACCAAGAGATGTCTTGGCATCTCCTGTCAAGCCTTGCTTCAAGAGACCAACCCGTGCCTGGCGATCCAAATTCCTGACCGCCTGAGTCGGCCCTCTCCCAAAAGCATGGCCTTCAAAGAAGTTCATGCGCCCTCGTAACCGTTCAGCCTCCTTCGCGCTGAGTCTGTCTTCTTCAAGGATTCCATCCAAAGAGCGCGTCAGCTCAGCAATGCGTTTGTCTGTGTGGCCAATCTTAACCAGACGACTTTCGAACTGACTAAGATCAACCACTAAACCTAGCATCTGGAACACCCCAGAAAACTCAGGCGCCTTCTTCCCTTCCTTGGCGTAGTCAAGGCCTAAAAGGTTGAACAGGGATTGCACAGCGAAGGCAGTATTCTGCTTCAGGCTCTCCTTCGAGACTACGCTGTAGTCGTCAAAGAAAGCCGTCCAGATTACCCTAAGTGCAAGCACCCCCAACATCCAAACCGACATACTTATTCTCAAGAAAGCGGCAACTGAGCCTATTGCACCGAACGGGAGTGCGTTCAGGCCCACTGACGACGGCTCGGCTTGGCCTGGTCGGTTGACGAACATTCTCAAGATGTCACGGTCTGCACAGGACACAGGGAATTGTTTGTATGCAGACTTGAGATCATACGTTCGGCCGCAAAGCGGAGCTCCTCCCTCCGTCGAGATGTCAATTGCGTAAGACAGCATGGCAGCCATCCTATCAATCGCGTGGACTACGAATTTTTCAACCGTCCCCACGGTTGCATTGAGACCGCAACAACTACAGTCATCAATCACGCGCGTTTTGTCCCCTTGCACTATGCCAAACCTACGGGCGTAAACCTTAAAATCCCCCTCAAACTTAGGCGCTTCCCAGATCCAACCACTCTGAAGTTCGTCCAACGTAGCCTGCCAAGTGGCATGCTCAAGCAAAGGCTCTTGTCGCACCGCCATTTTTTCAAGCACGGCTTTGTTCAGACTACCTGACAGAAGTTTCAACGTTTCAAGGGAAAACTCGGGTCGCTTAATCTGCGTGGGGAAAGCCTGGCTTGCAGGCAGCCAGCCACTTAAAGAAAAACCCTTTTGCATATCCTCGATGAGGCTGGTATCCGGAAGACCATACGCAAGAATCAATTCCTGCCACAAGAGGAGCCGTTTGCCTTTCAAGGTCTGACGGATGTGAGGAGGAAGCGCTGCGTGAAGTGCATCCTCACGGCCTTGAAGTTCCTTCGCTCGCGCAGACCAGCGAGCTATGAATTTTAAACGGTGCTTAGCCAAAGAAAATTCATCACCTAGAAGGTTCTCTTTGACCACGGATTTCAAGGCCGGTTCGAGACTGTCAACGAAGTCTCTTGGGTGTCCAGCACTTACGGCCCTTTGCACAAACTTATCCGGAGCAAGGGGGATGCCAAACCTGAAAACCTCCACCCTGGTTCCAGGTTGCGGGTCGGAAACCCTACAGTGCAAGCCTACAGCAGCTACTCGTTTCTCGGCCTGCACATCGCCCCAAGTGGACAAATGCCGAGAAATAAAATGCCCTTTTGGCGGCGCCACTGCAGTTGGTTCCGAGTTTTGAACATAATCGATGACATGAACGTAGTAACCAAACTCGGGCAGCACACCCGGTGACCGCGTAGGCTGGAGGCCAAGGGGAACACGAGCAACAGGCGGCGTGTGAATTTGCTGCTCACTCAAAGAGGTAGCTTCAGACGCGCCCTCCTTGACAACAGAATCCCTCAGCAAGCCAGCTACACGCTGGCAAAAGAGACTGGGATACACGCTGATGGCTTGACTAAAACGCCCGTTCTTGGAGACAGGTTTCCAGGACGTATGCACATGGTGCTCGGACTCACCTGGGCATGTAAGTTGCAAGGCATCAAGGAAGTGCGAAGAAGTCCATAGCTTGCACGGTTTAGGTCGATCTCCGCCATGAGCACACATGTGGAAGGGAACCCAACATGACTGAGGGCTCAGAGCCTGAAGGGCACGAAAGAAGGAGGTCTGCCAAAAGAGCGAATTCTGAGGATTCTCAATAACACAGCGAACGCCTGAAAGGCAGGCTGCACGCAGCACAAGGCAGACCGACTCAAAAACCAGATTGGCGGTTTCAAGCTTGCGTTTGTCTGCCCCACAAAGCCCGGGGACACCATCCGGATGTGCCGAAGTCCGTAACGGCTTGGGCTCGCGCAACTGACTCCCTCTCAACTGTGGAAGAGGTCTTTCACGAGCTGGTGTAGAGGTGCTGTGGGGCACACGGGCCCAGACCATTGCCACTCGGGAAGCCTCATGTTTGAGCATGGTGGTGAGGCCAGCGACGCTGTCTGCACACAAAAGGTCGAAAGACAAGACTCTCACAGATGAAGAAGCAGGTTTGCGATCGAGTGCCAAAGTTTGGAAGCCGATCTTTCCACACGCATGGCTGATAGCGGCAGGGCCGCAGCACAGTTCGATCACAAGCATATCCTGCACATGCAACGACGGAGGTATTTGCATGGGTTCCCCTGTCGAGACCGCAGGACTCAAAGAAAACCCCAAATCCTTCAGAGCACAAATTTCGTGGGACTTTAAATGATCAGCGAACCGGGTGTTGTACCCGACAAGGACACATCGCCTGCCCGACCAAGACAAAGTGCAATGCTTGTCACGGGTGGCTGAAAGCCATTGCGGGCCTTTGTCAACAGGGAGAATTTTGCCCTTCAAGCGCGAGTCATGAGGACACACGACATCACCATCTTCTGCCTGGTACCAAACGCCCCCACCTTGGAAAGAACTGATCGGCACAATGATGTTCCAGCTCTGGGGCTCGTTGTTCGCGTCAACATGCAGACTACTCTGGCATTGATCCAAGAAAATGAATGAAGTAAAAGGCGCCCCTTTCATGTGCGCACTCAGAAAATTGCAAATCAATCTCACGGCACCTGCATAGGCCATAGTATTAGAATGTAGACCGACAGCTCCACCGTGTACAAAACTCCCGGCAGCAAAGGATTGACCCTTCCCGTCCGACTGACGAGGCGAAGGGGATTTGGGCAAAGCATCAAACAACCTCAAGATGTCATCACTGCACAGAGTTTTCTGACTCAGAGATTCGATCAAGTCACTAAGATGCTCTGCTTCTGTGGCAGTGGGGCGAGCTGGAGCTCCAAGCGAATCCGAGCCGCCTCCAGTATCAACACGAGGATTCTTCACCGCAGGTTGTTCACCTGGATCGGAAGAAGCATCGCCTGTGCCTAGTCAAGGCTTCGGCTTAGCGCGACAGGTTGCAAAGCTGTGGTTTGCCTTATGACACTGCACACACACATGAAACCCTTTGGAGCACCGCGGCAAGCCTTCCACCACTTTGGTCTCGGACGTGCAACCTTCACCATTATGCGCCCAACACACGGGTCCCTTAGAAAACCTTGGGCATTTCTTAAAGGACTCTGGCATGAGAGCCCGCGCCTTCTTACGAATCTTCTTCTTTGTCGGGGTTTTCTGCGGACCATGTGGCGTAGGAAGATCTGGCACCTCGGGCACTGCACCTGCACCTGAAGCAGATGAGACATTAGTGCTTGCGACTGGCGTGAGCCAAACCTGAATCCGCTGATCAAACATCATACTCGTAAAAGGGGCATCTAATGGCTTAATCCCGGTAGGCAACGACTTGTAAGGTGGCTGTACCTCTCTTGCAAGCAATGTCCACACTTCTTTGTCAGCCCTGATAAGCTGTTCAGTGCGCACAGGAGAGCAATGACTCGGGACCGGAGCGGTCAGCAGATTCAACAGGCGTTGCACATACTGTTCATGAACTGCCCACGACAGCAATCCGCACTGGTCCATAGCAATTCCACGTCTTTGCCAAGCCCACATAAGGTTGAGCGGACTGGACAAGTCCACTGGGATTTTAGGCTGAGGCGCTGTCAACTTCAACGCATCTTTCTCAAGATGAACGACAGGAGACTTTTCCGTGATTCCGATCGCAACCTCAGCATCCCTCTTACTGCAAACCGAGGGCGGCAACCACACTAAAGCCCCAGACTCCAGCATGGTATTGCACTTGTCAACTAGGTTGTAAGACGGCTGAAGCTCACCAGTGATGGCGACTCCACTCAGCCTACGCTGCTGGTCAAGGGCACGAGCTGTTCGCTCCGGCAGCGGTAAGCGCTTGATCTGCACATCCGCGGTGTCTGAAGATGCCTGCTCCTTGAACACTTGAATGACATATGTCGTGGCTTCAAAGTGAAGATCCCTCAGGATAGCAATCTTTCCCAGTGCCGGACTCGCACCAAAGACCTGTGTTGCCAAGTCGGAGTACTGCTGAGCCGACGGCTCTACTCTGGGGGTGCCTATGGCAAAAGCAAGCTGACGAAAATTGCGAATGCCCTGGGCAACCAAAGCCGCGTGCAGCGACCCATCTGAGCTGACCTCGGAACACCTTTGCAGGAAAGCAGCCTCAGAGGTGATCAGCGCCATGGGTTTCCAAGCTCGAGACCGACTCAATCAGTTACGTCCTGAAGACACTCCGTTTCGTACACCGTGACTGTTTTTGCCTGTGCTACGAACACATGCACGTACATCGCTTTCAAGTCCGAGCCAAAACTTGCACAGGCCATTGACTCGCACGTCGCCAGCTGCTCACCCCAAAGGGGAATACAGCCCACGCAAGACAACGATCACAGGCCATGCACTTGGCTCCAATGGCTTTGCACAGCGTGACTGGACTCGCAAAGTCGCCCTTGCACGGTTCTCCTCCACCTGCAATCACTCACCTTGTGGACTCAAGGAGGCAGACCTCCCGACTCGCCACCAAGGGAATGGACTGCTGGGGCACGAAGATCCAACGGACCCCTCTTTCGCGCTTGCAGTCGAAGGTCTATCTGCGGAAACAAAATTTGCAGGGCAAGTCTTCCTGCTCTAGAGCATCGTTGCTATGCTTAAAATGTCGGGAACCCACCTTCCGCCCACAGGAAAACAAATTCTTGAAGTGAACTTTAGGAGCAAGGTGGGCTACCTTTGATGATTCATGCCTCCAAACATCAAACCCTACCGGAACCACAAGGCCCTGAGCAACCAATGCAATCGGTTGCCCATCGTCCTCATCAGATTCATCCGAGGATTCTCCTGGGGAGTCACCCGGTTCGGACTCACTGTCCACGACGATTGGCTCACCAGCTGAACACTCTTCGCCAAGCTCAGATTTGCACTCCTGTCCCCTGGAGACATCAGAGGCTTGCGGGAGCACGCTGGGCCCACCTATCCCACCGACTTCAGGAACAAAGCTGCTAACCAAAGGCTGAGCTCTTTCCGTGACCAAGCGTCCACTCCTGGTGTCATCAGGCCGAAATGAGCCATCCCTGACTTCCTTCAGAAGGCGCTCGACAACTAGCAACAGTGGGGCTTGAGCATCACGACTGTACACCAGGTCCATTCCACCTGCAGCGTGATACCCAAGCCTCTGGAGGGTTAGAGGATCAACACCCCGCTTTGCCGCCCAAGAAATCATGGTTGCCTTCATGGATTTCGAAGCAATGCGAGTATCACCGTCCTCAACTTGCAACAACAACCTGAGCCAAGCTGTAGCCTCATCGGTGTCTAGGGCTCTGACCGTTGGTTTTCCCTGAGCATCCGGTGCCGGCATAAATGGACACTTACCTGAATCGGTGATCCCAAGGTCCACTCTGCACGCCCTCCAGAGTTCTCCGTATGGCCTGAGCCCAAGCGAAGGTGCCACCGCATGCAAGAATTTATGGCGCTTACTCTGAAGCCTGCAAGTCTTGTGCACACCGATACGCAATTCGATGTAACAAAGGTCAGCTTCGAAACCTATGTCCCACATGACGGTCTCTGTGTGCTGGACATCACTCCACCGGCATCTGCTGTACGCACACACCAACGCTGCGCCTGCGAAGGCTCTGCACCACGGGTCTGGATGGGACTCCAGAACATCATGTAGCGTTTGCAACTGATGCACAGTCAAGGGTGATGCTTGCTTTGGCTCCTTGAAGAATTCCGAAGTGCAAATCCCTTTGCACCGTCGACTGCTACTCACAACCTCGAGCTCTGACACTCCGACCACATGCAGAGTGAAGTTGATGGCCTCCATCACAGACGACAAACGACTCGGTGGCGCGCCATCTCTTTCAAGAGTTTTCAAGAAGTCATACACATGCGATTCGGCACATGGAAACGTTACACTCTTCTCCATGATGAAGTCATGTAGCAAAGTCAAGCTCCTAGCACGCTTTAGAACAGTAGACGGAGCCTTGCCCTTCATGATGTCCCCAAGAACCTCAATCTGGTCAGCCCTGGATGAGCAAGCATCCAACTGGGAAACCAGCAGGCAAGGTCCCCACTGAAGAACCATGCACAGCCACATCTCCAAGCCAATCGCTAATTGCTCACTACGCTGTTGCTTCCAATCAACGATCGCCCTGGCTTTGACCACCTTGCTGAACGACACATCTTTCGAAGTCCTTCGCGCCCTCTTTGCTGCAGCCTCGGAATCCCCTGCAGGGATCCCGGCCTCACCCTCAATGAAGATCCGCGCGGCTTTCTTCACAGGCAAATCAAGAAAATCTTTACCCCCAAAGATCACCCCGAAAACACCCTCATCCCACGGTTGAGCGAAGGCCTCCAGGTCACTGGATGCGAGGGGCACTTGACATGCACTCCTGAAGGTAGCTTCAAAATCAACTGCATGGCCTTCCAAAGGGTCCGACGCTGGCTGCAACACTACATGCGGCTCGGAATCGCGGACCTGGTTCCACCACAAGCTTTCTGGACCAGCTAAGTTGATCAAGGCTGCGTCCTCTGATTCTGCAGGAATTGAAGGAGACTCTGCACAAGATTGTTGATCCAAAGGAAGCGCACCCCCAAACCTAAACTCAGCAGCAGCTTTCTCAAGGGCATCGGTGTCAAGCTCGGCCTGGGAGCTGGCACCTTGGCAGGGGCCCTCGGCAGCATCCGCATTCACCAAGTCTGGAGCAAAGGTCCCACTAAGGGGGCTGTTATCCTGCCACACGTTGGCACTGGCACCTGACAAGCCCGAAGAGCCCAAACCTTGCAAAGGCAAATCAGGAGCCTCAGCTGCATCCTCACCCCCAAGAAGATCTGAGGCGGATAAGGGAGGAGCAGGCGGAAACGCGTGGTCTGCCATGTATGCAATGCTCACAGCGACTCGCCAGCGACGTGAGCGCGGCGAGCCTGAAGGCCGACGGTGCGCCTGTAGCGCTCATCCGCCCCCCCACTCAGGGGGGAGGCTTGCACGAGGCCTAAGGCCACTTACTAGACTCTCAGCCTCAGGGCCCTTACACGACAGGGGACTTTAGAGGCCCAAAAAAGAAATTCTCGCCAATCACCTCGAAAGGGAAAAAGGCTGCAGCATGAGAATTTCATTCACCACACAGCATGTGTGAAAACAGCAAGCTAATTTTCCAAGGAAAAATTTTCCTCAAAACGATTGAATAAAGTAACATCCCCTTTTTCGAGTATCAGTGCGGGGAGTGTGTACTGATGATAGAAATCCCTTCTATCAGTTATGGAGCCGCACAGGAGGGACTTTGGCCGCAGCAGGATGTTGCACATCAGGGCTCCAGGCGGGAGCTCTCGAGATGGCCCTTCGAGGCATCGCTCAATGCCGTTAAGCGACCGTCGGTCGCCTATCTGTCTATCCTGCTTCTCATTCTTTCTTGCGTTGAAGACCCTGACCTTTTGCCACGCCTTCACCCGATCCTTTGTAAAGCCCAAAAGGCCAAGCTGGTTCCACCTTGCGTAAAGCTCCGGGAGCTCATGAGCAGAATCGGTGCAAGTGGCTGGGTGAGGGCTCGTAGGCTCATCCTCGGTGAAGCGTAACACCCGCGGTTCAAGAAAAGGCATCACGAGAGAAGGCTGAAGGTAGGGTACCGGCCAAAAGTGCCCAGTACCGGAAATCTTCAAGCGAGCCGCGCACAGGCTAGAGTAGGGACGGAGCTCGGGTCGGTCCGGGTCGACGGGCTCGGCAACTCCGTGGTTCCCTGCAGCATCATAACCTGCGCCAGGTGACGGTGTGTGTCGGCCGGCATAGGCGGCCAAGTTCCGAAGGCATGCAGTCAATTCATGGCTTCGTCGCCCAGGACACATAGGAATCTGGGGGGCGAGAGAGCCACACGCGCGAAGAAGCCGCTGGATGCGATCGAAGATCGCTTCCTGGGAAGAAGACGGCGGCCTCCGAAGCTCGGCAGAGGGAATCCAATTCCTTCCGCAGAAGACGTAGTTGAGGCACATCGTTAGAACATGCACCCCTCTCTTGAGCACGAGGCTCTTGAAACGTCCCTGTGCCATCTTCGGGCCACTCCCATCGAAGACGCCCGGATAGGGCACTGGGAGCGGAAAAAGCGCGGGAGCGGACACGGACTCACCGTTCCTTTGCAGGTGAAGAGTGCTCGCAAGGAAGCGAGAAAACTTGGTATTACAGGCTAGGATGCGCCTAGGCAAGCTGGCCAAGAAATTCGTAAAAGGCAAGACGCCATCGAAGTTGAGGACGTCGTCATGCAACAGCTGTTTGCATTGCTCGTGGTGCATCGATGCAGTCGGTGGGTCTCCGGAGGAGACCGAGGCAGCCTCTAAAGTTCTGTACGGCGCCTGGACGAGTGAAAAGGAGGAGTCTTGCTGGCCATGACTTCCTCCCGGTGCGCTTGAAGTGCTGTGGCTAAGCACATTAGGCGGGCCTTTCAAAGGAGCCCCCTCGTGAGAAAAGGCAACCTGATGGCTACATATAGTACGGACAGAAAAGGACTCGGTGCGCGATTCGACCTGCATTCCTGGTCGGCTGCCCTCGCATTGCACATGCCCTAGAGGTCGGAGAGGACTTACCCTGCTTTTCTGGACTGCCCTCGCATTGCACACGGGGTCGGGAACTAGTAACCCTAGGGGTAGGAGAGGGCTCGGCGACTAGCGGGGCTTGCTCCTCGGAAGGACCACCTTCGCATTGCACACAGGTTAGGGAACTAGTAACCTGAGGGGCAGGGGAGGACTCGGTGCCGAAAGTGACCTGCTTTTCTGGCCGGCTGCCCTTGCTTTGCACACGGGTTCGGGAACTACATACCTTAGGGCTCTGCAGGGCTTGTGGGACAGCGGCCGCACGGCCTTTCAACAAAGGTTCATCTCAAGGTGGCGACAATGCCTGCACAAGAGATATCACGATCCTCTCACCAGGGGCCGAATTGTCAGGTTTTGAGGAAAAACCCATGATTCGGCTCCCGGCCCAAACACGAGGAGCCGAATTGTCAGGTTTTGAGGAAAAACCGATGATTCGGCTCCCGGCCGAATTGTCCTTTTCGGAGGGAAAACCGACAATTTCGCCTCCGGCTGTTTCTGAAGAAAACCTGCAGAAGCGGCTGGGCGCCCACACATAAGCTCTGAGAGCCCTTCAGGAAAGTTAGCAGGGAAGAGGAGGCCGCACGCAGCGGAGGTTTCGGACCCCTTCTCCGAGTAAGGGAGCGCTGGGTCCAACAGCAAGATCGGCCGCACACTGCCGTAGGAGGCTTGCTCGCTAGGGTCATGGGGCCTACCAACCTTAAAGGGGAAAGGAGAAGGAGAAGGCAAGGAATTCACTGCGGACCACCGGGGGTTCGGGAACTAACACCCCTATCCTTAGGGTCACCAGGGGTGAGGCCCGGCACCGGGGTCCTCGCAGCTAGGCATCTGGCTTCTTCGTCCAGGTTGCCTTTGCCTTTGCTTTTGCCTTTTTCTTCTTCCATCCTCCTTCCTCTCCTGCCGGGTCTCCGCTCGAGCCCGGGCGATCGGAGTCAGGTCGGACCGCCGCTGGGTGATCAGGTCCTGCTCGCGGAGGAAAGCCAGCGAAGTCGTGGGGCAAAAGCCCGGTGGCGGCCACCAACAGACATCAGGCTGCGATTGCTCATAATAGCTGCCGGCGGCTCCTCTTGGAGCTGAGGAGGTATCCTATATCCATGTTCCCGCCATCTAGCGCACACTGCTCCAAGCACACGCAAAGGAGGGCTAGGACATCCAGGCATCCATCCATCTGCCCAGACATGGCCAAATCCAGGGCAGTACAGACTTGCCACTGCACCAGGGCAATGTTTCGCACCTGGCGCTCTATGTATTTTGCCCTCTCCCTCAGCTCGCTTGGCTCTGCTTGGGTCGGATCCATTCGGCGGGCCGCCGCCTGCAGGACCTTTGTGTAGAAAGGAGGGCGGCCCCCATTTTTCAAAGCCAACTCGGCCTGCAGCTTCGCCCTGCCTAAGGAACCACGCGCGCCTGCAGAAGCCCCGGTGGCCTGAGGATCGAGCTCCTCCGCCCTGCTGGGCGAGATGACTCACAAGGGTGGTCAGGGCAGCCGACTGCGTCATGAGAGCCTGAACCATGCTGCTTTCCTCCGTGGGAGCCAGGTGGTCCTGTGCTTCTTGCATGGCCGCTGGTGTTCCGATTCCCCCCTCTATCCTTTGGACCTCTGGGCCTCTCTTTGGGGGAGCCCCCGCCACCTGCTTCGACGATGCCGGCTGCCCCGGCGTGCCTTCGGCTGGCAGCCCCAGCTGGGCATGCAAAGGAGCTCGCACGCCCGTAGTCAACGAAACCCCTCCTGCCTCCAAGCGGCTGTAAGCTCGTCCAGCCGAGAGTTGAGGGCCGGGAGCACTGACAAAGCAGCATTTTTCGCTGGGCAGGGGTCTGCTTTGCCTTTGCCCTCGATTTTGCACCTTGCTTCGGCCCGGGCACGGGCCCCTCTTCGTCGAGGGAGTAAAACGCCACACGGTCCAAGTTTCGAAGCCAAGGGTCGACCTGAGGCAGCAGGCTCGGCACATAAGGAACCAATGAAGGGTCCTCTTGGTCGAAGGGCTCGACCCCCTCCGGAAGTGGCATCCTCGCAATTTTTAGGCTGGCGCATAGCTCCTCGCTGCAGTCTATCATAACCGACAATCTGGCACTGTGCTCCACAAGCTGCCCTTCCGCAATGATGGCAGCAGCGCAGTCGAAAACTTCTGAGGGCCCCAGCACTTCGGTAGGAGGACTCGATTGGGCTGCCTGAAGGAGGCTTTCGTCGAAGAAGTGGGAGGGCACTGCAATCAGGAGGCCTTTGCTGGGGTTCTGTCTCTTCAGGAGACACACGGCACACGCTTCCAGGACCAGGGGTCCACCTTCCTCCTCTGGCCAGCCGAGGATCAGGGTGGCCGGTGAGCTGAGGGCAAAATCTGGCACCTCTGAAAGATTCATCGCACCTGTGGGACTGCGAAGCCAGCGGCGTCGCAGTAGACACGCACCTCCAGCAAGGAAGGGAACCCGTGGGAGATGGTAGACCGAGCAAAGGGCCGCCCCACAATGTCGAAGTAGGCTCGCGAGGTCTCCACCAAAGCGGGCGAGTCCAACCCCGGGGCACGCAGCACAATGTAGTACCGCGAGGAGAGCTTGAGGAGGGGGGTGTGAGCAGGAGTAACCACCCGATCAGAAAGAGCAGCAGCAGCCCACTGGCCAGCAATCCAAGCACGCCGGAGCCTTTCAATCCCTGAGCTCTGCGCGCTTTGCAGCTGATGCGCAAGGGAGGACCACCTCGCAGGCAGCGGAGGGAAGCTGGCGAGGACGTCTCCTCTAGTTTCAGCCAGCAACGGCGGCTGGGACGAGGAAGAAACCGGCTCTTCAGTAGCCGGAGGGTCCACCAGCAAGTAGCCGGAAGAAGCCCGAGAAGGAGCAGCAGGCGAGGAAGGGGCAGTGTACCGAGCAATGTGCTCTTGAAGGTTGACACAATCCCGAGGGGGACCCCTGAGAGTGACCGAAATGTTCCCAATCTGAAATGTCAGTTCGGAATCACCCTTAATCATGCAGGTACCCTGCTAATCTGGCACTCGCGTTCCTGTGACGGGCCCTAGCCGCTAAAGAAGCCGAGGGAGGCCTTGGCTGGGGCTCAAAGAGGGTCGGTCGAAGAAAAATCCAGGTGGTAAAGGCAGCTCCAAGTAGGAGCCCGGTAGAGAGGCCGGCAGCAAAAGCAGGCAGCAGACTCCCCCCGCAGTAAAACGGACACGACAGACCCTGAAGCCTACCCAGAAGGTTGAGACCCACGTCCAGGGCCCCTTGCATCGAACAGCTGAAAATCTTGCGGTTCAAAATCAGCGTTCGCGACAATGGTAGGGCATGCGATTTGTGTTGGCAACCCACGTCGAATCAAAGACTCTTTCTGATGTGCGAAACTCGCAGCGCAAGGATCTTCATTGACCTACCTTAAACCCAAAGACCCCAATCCTGTTATTGAGGCACACAGTATAACTATAATAGGAGCCCCGATATGAGTTTAGTCACCAAATCCATGCCTGCTAGGAGAACGTTAGAAGGATGCTGGGAGAAATCTAAAAATTTCTACGAGGACGTCACTGTCCCAGTCACGAAACCCCACGCCTGCTACGAGGACGCTACGAGGACATTACGAGGACATGTACAAATGACTACGAGGTCGCCACTTTTTCAATACAAAATATACATGTTCTTGATTTTATATATTGAAAAAGTTGCGTCGTCCTCGTGGAAATTTCTACATCTCTCCCAGCATCCTTCTAGCGTCCTCCTAACAGGCGCTTTAAAAAAACGTTTTTGATGGGCACAGATTGAAGGTCTAGAAAGCGGCTGACTTTGTCGTTGAGTTGCTTCTTCTCCCCACAGTGCAACAGCTTTTTGCTGTTCCCATTCAACGCAGCACACATCGGAAAGAAGAGCATGAACGCAAATCACCAGTCACACGTCCTTGATTGCAAGAGGTCTCATTTCCGGGGTCGGAAAGTGGGTCTAGTTTGCGGACCTTTTCCACTTGGGGCTCCTATTTTTGGGCCTAAAATCGGAACCAGAAAACAAACCACGACATCGCCAAACCTGGGACCTGGAACAAGCTGCAAGATTGTGGCGCACGGACGCTCACTCGGGTTCACCAACCCAACCCGTTCACGTACAGTTGAGGGAATTTGTGCTTTCTAGCTCCGAAGAGGCTCATGAGCAGTCGGAGTGGAGTGTGCACCACCCCCTTTCCCCCAACAGCACTGGCATCTACTACAGCGCGCTTTGCACCCACGTTGCTTTACCGGAGTATGTGAATTTAATGGACCTGATTTAGGACCTGAAGGAGCGTACAGGGGCTTTTGGTTTGGTCCCTTCCCTGAATCAAAGGCCGCAACAGAACCTCGAGCGGTCACCAACTGAGCAACAAAATTGGACTGCAAGTAAGTTGCTTCAAAGCTTGTTCCAAGTCGCAGATGAACAGATGGAACAAATCAGGTTGTAGGGCATGCGATTTGTGTTGGCAACCCATGTCGAATCAAAGACTCTTTCTGATGCGCGAAACTCGCAGCGCAAGGGTCATTTCTTGCAATCAAGGACGTGTGACAGGTTTTGCATTCATGCTCTTCTGTGCCGTTGAACGGGAACAGCAAAAAGCTGTTGCACTGTGGGGGAAGAAGCAACTCAACGACAAAGACAGCCGCTTTCTTAACCTTCAATTTGTGCCTCTCAAAAAACGCTTTTTTATTTTTTGGCGTGGGCGGGCCTCGTCGACTACGGCTGTAGCACTCGGTCCCTACAAACAAAATAAACCAACAAACAAACAAAGACAGCGGTGAAACAGGGCGGTTCTTTAAAGAGAGGCAAAAGGCTAGCTGCGGCGCACAGGCTTTGCCGGTGTTGGCCGTTCAGCACGAGCTACGGGGCCTCAGCGACCGATCCACAACAGCAAAAGGCCATCGCCTAGAGCTGTCCAGGCCCACCGGTGGAGCCCAAAGTCGAAGCTCCGGCCGCCGTTCTAGTTCCGTCGAACAACGGTCGGCCCCGGAGTCCTGTTGTGTCACGATCGTGCACACAAAGTCCACAAGTCCACGGTGGAATTCCCGTCCAGCGGCAATCTCTAAGAAAAGACCCTACGACGTATGTCGATGGTCATAACAGACTCATGCCTGCCGGTATGCGGTCCCACCCCGTCATTGGGTACAATCCAGTGTCGAGGGTCATGGCCAAGAGTCCAGCTGGCGCTGCATGTCGTTGCCGCTGGTCGGGAAGTGGGATTCGCGCAACAGGTATAACAATTGGTAATTGCGCTGCGCATACAATTCTTGTAGGCGGTGAAAACCCATATCGGAGTGTATCTTGATCCGGCTCATGGAGATGCGGCATCAGCTCAGTGGAAATGAACGGGATTTGAATACCTGGGCCGATCCCACCGCGTGCAATGAAGGCCTCCGCTTCGTCTCTCCAGTGGTCCTGGCCCCAAGGGTCTCCTAGCCGAAACCATGCGCGACTTCCATCGGGCAGTGTCTTCTCGTTGGACTCTTGGGCCACCAAGTGGTGAATGAGAACCTTGGCCCTCGCATCCCACGCGTCGAAATGGGCGTGGCGCCACAGGCGCACCGGGAAATAAAAGTCCTTTTTCTGTGGGCCTCTCAGCCAATAAACGACCACCGCGCTAAGATCCCAACCAGAGGTGGCGCCACAGGGCAGCATGCAGAAGGCCAGCGGACTGGATTGGAAGCGTGGGCGGCGCTTGCAGACCCAAGGGGACATCGTCCAGCGGAAGCAGGAGTCTGAAAGTTCCCTTGCACACGCCCGGGTATGAAAACATTTGAGGGTCGAAATCACCACGCCTAGCTGGGAGAAGCCCACGATGGAAGCCTTCCATCAGCCGTGCGGCAATAGTGATTTGGGGCCGCCCCACAAGGGAGGCAGGCACTTCCGCCTTAACCCGTATTTCAAGGAAATGCAAGTCATTCTGCCAGACAGGAGAAATTCGCACGAGTTGTAGCAGAGGGGCAGCGTCTGGTTCATCTACCAAAGCCCGTGCAAGGAAGAACAGCAACTGCACCGGCAACAGCACACCACAATGGAGCAAGGGGGTGCCCTGATTCGGATCCATGCTCGAGCCTCCCTCCGTTGCTGGCCGGACGCCTGATCCCGTGCCGCGGCGCTTGCCCGTGGGTAAGGGGGGGTCTCTTGGGTGGCAGAGACATTTGGATAAGACTACCATCTCGGACTGGTGACTTATGACCGGCCTTAGCACTGGGGAGCGAAAACTTAAGACCATCGAGTTCTATAGGTTTAGTTGTGCTTGCTAGCGGTATGCCGGAGGCTTTAAGTCCAAACTCAAAGGCCCTGAAAGACGTAGTATTTTCCAGGAGTGCCGATTTGTCTCACATAAGTCGAGTGAGACAACAAACGAAACAACCAGGTTGATGGGTGGCACGTTTCGCCCCCCCATCCAAACTGTCGTTACAGCAGTAGCAAAACGAGAGAACCCGAAGTACAGGATGACCAAGCAGCGAATGCAATGGCGGAATAAGTTCGAAGTACTGCTGTGGGACCAGCGCGAGCACTTGCACTTGCAATGCATGAGAACCTAGTGGTCGCAACGAGGAACCTCCTTTGGCAGAGGACACAAACGACCCGAATCAAAAGGATACGGATATAAGCCCAAGCTAAAGCATTACCATTGTGGAGGTTCTTAAAAGAGGTGACACGGTGTAGTGCAGCAAAAAGCGTAACATAAACAAGATAAGCGATAATTGCAAGTAGAAAACACTGTTCAGCTGCTGATACTACTGGGACTGTGAGACGTGCCTGCCCCGAAGGCCCAGTTTTCTTGTTACGAGGTCTTTGTCGAGTTCTTTGGCCAGTGCCTTGTGAAACAGCTGTGCGGTCCTAGAACGCGCCAGTCGTGAATCCGCATCAGGGCGGGAGGGTGAGGAATTCGAAAAAACCGCCAGCAAGCACAACTAATACTGTGAGCCAAAATGTTCGCACACATAAACTATAAAACAGATGTGAACAAGTACACAAATCGTTCTATAGGTTTAGTTGCGCTTGCTAGCGGTATGCCGGAGGCTTTAAGTCCAAACTCAAAGGCCCTGAAAGACGTAGTATTTTCCAGGAGTGCCGATTTGTCTCACATAAGTCGAGTGAGACAACAAACGAAACAACCAGGTTGATGGGTGGCACGTTTCGCCCAATAACAACTACCCAGCAACCTCGCTCTCGAAAAGCCCAAAACTATGTGAGGTTGTTCGGCACTCCTGGGGCTCGCACGGTCCATGCCAGCGAAGCATCGCTGGGCGAAATGGAAATGGCCGGCCGAGGCAGCCAAAGATCACTCAGGCGAAGCCTGATGCGGTCACAGTCGAGGCAGTCTGGGGGAATGTCGTGTTCACCCGGTCTTGACAGTGCATCTGCTTTGGTGTTTTTCTCCCCCGGTATGTGAGACACATCCAAAGTGGTACGATACACTGCAGCAAGCAGAGAGATGCGTTCAAGGAAATATGCAAGTGGGCGTGAAGTTGTAAATGATGCATTCACACCTGCCTCCGCACCACTGTTGTCTGAGACCGTCCGAAGCTTGATTCTGGAGCAAGGTATCAAGGTTGAAGATGCGATAATCAGCGCCCCTTGAGCGAGTGCTTCATAGCACGCAATGTCAAGCTGCATATCTTGCTGAACGGGAACCTGAAGCTCGCGGAACTCCTCATATGTGAATTCTTCCCTAAACCACCTTTGGCCTAATGCAGGATGTGACACGAACCCACCAATGCAAGCCCGTTGACCTTGGGCACTGGCGTCCGCTTGTGCTTCCACTGGAAACACTGCTGCTGGTCGCATGCTGACCATAGGGCTCATGTGAAGTAACCACAACTCATAAAGCCCCAGAATGCGCACTGACTCCGCACTCAGGCGGCGCTTGTTGCTGCATTGGCTGGATATGCGCATCCAGATACGTCTGTCTGTAATGCGAACACTGGCAAGATCTGAAAGGCTTTGCAGTTTTTGGTGCCGCACCGATAGCAGTGTAGAGTGAAGCGGAATG